AGTAAAAAGCAATAATCGTTTTAGAATCATCACAAAAGACCTCTCTGAGGCACTAGATTTTCATGTTTTGTTATTTTTTTTTTTTGGCCTTTTTGAGACAGGGTCTCCCTGTAGTTCCAGCTGTCCTGGAACTGACTATGTAGACCAGGCTGGCCTTGAACTCACAGAGATCCACCTGTCTCGGCCTCCCAAGTGCTGGGACTACAGGCGTGCGCCACCACGCCCGGCCATGTTTTGTTATTTTGTTGTTCATTTTTCATTTATTTTTTATTTTACCATTGTTATTGTGTGTGTGTATGATACATGTGTGTAAGCATGTGCATACCATTGTATACATTGGCGATCAGAGGACAACATTGTGAAGTTTGTTCTCTCCTTCCATCTTTACAAGGATCCAACTCAGGTCATCAGGCTTCAAGGCAAGCTCTTTACTAGTTGAGCCATCTTACCAACCCCCATTTTGGGTTTTGTTTTGTTTTGTTTTACTTTTAAAAGATTTATTTATTTTTATTTTATGTATATGCATGTTTTGCTTGCATGTATGTTCACCTGCCTGCTGAGGCCAGAAAGGCCATCAGAATATCTGGAACTAGAGTTACAGACAATTGTGGGCTGCCATGTGGGTACTGGGCATTGAACTCCAGTTCTCTGGAAGGTCTTGATTGCACTGTCTCTTCAGCAGCTCCCTCACCCCGCTGGTTTTTAAAAGTAATCATACTCCCCACCTCCTACTACCTACGGAATAAATGATGTACAAAAAAATGCACATAACTATCTAATTTGGTGAGTTTAGACAAGTACACTTGTGTTATCATCACCACAATCTAGGGAAATGCTCCCCCAAAAGTTTCCTGAGAAGTGCTAATGTTTAAGCTGTGACCTAAAGGATAAGAAGAAACTAGTCAAGCAATGACACTGGGGAAATTTTCCTAAACAGAGGATCCTGTTCCAGGCCCTGAGCTGGAAGGAACTGGTACATTATAACAACAATTCAAAGGTCAGTCTGCCCAGAGGTGTGGCCTCTGAGAGGGGAGTGACACAAGACAGGAACAAGAGGGCAGGACCAGGGGCAGATCACTGGGCCTGTGAGGCCAGGGAAGGAGTCTGGGCATTATTCCAGGTCCAATGAAAAGCCATGAAAGGGATGTAACCCAAGGAATGCTATGGCCTGATTTTTTTGTTTTTGTTTTTACAAACCTATTGCTGTTTGGAGAACAGATTAGAAAAGGGCAAAACAGAGACAAATCAGTTAGAAAGCTATAGTATTTCAGTCAAATGATGATGTGGCCCAGCCTGTGAGAGGGCTCAGTGAATAAAGGCATTTGTTATGTAAGGCTGGTGGCCTGAGTTCAATCCCTGGAACCCATATAAACGTGGAAGGAGAGAAAGGGTTCCACAAAGTTGTTCACTGACCTCCACAAGGGCACCATGACACATGTGCTCCCTCCCCATACATCATGTACATACACATAATAATAATAAAATAACTTGTTAAAAAGAGAGCTGGTTGCCTGGGATTAGAGGTATGGTAAGAGAGGAAACACAGAGAATGCAGTGTGCCACAGACACATTATAGAGACAGAACTGACAGGACCAAGTATTTTGCAATGGAGCGGTAATCCCACAGCCAACAATGGAGAGGTAATCCCACAGCCAACAATGGAAATTTGTTGAAGCGAACAGGCTCATTTTATGCTGACCTTACTCGTGTTAAATTGAATTAAATTGGAATCTGAAATAAATTGGCAAATCAAGTTTATATATTAAAATATCACTTCCAACAGCCAAAGAGGTTATACAGATAAGAGGCCTAGGTATGTGGTAGAAATAACCTTTGGTCCTAGTAGAACAATAGTATTAGTAACTATATGTGGCACACAGCACTTACTAAGTGCTGGTCTGTGTTCATTTCATATGTTCACTTTTTCCTCAGTCAATTTGAGGTAGCACTATGTTAAACTCACGGCTCCTATTTTTCAGATAATAAAACTTAGGCATACAGTACTGAATAGCTAGTCAACAGTTGAGACAGGCTTTAAATACTTTCTCTCTCTAGAAGTCATGCCTTTTTTCTTTGTCTGTTTGAGACAGGGTCTCCCTGTAGCCTGGAACTTACTTCACTATGTAGTCCAGGCTGGCCTTGAACTCACAGAGATTTGCCTGCCTCTGCTTCCAGAGTGCTAGGTTTAATGGCGTGCACTACCACACCCAGCTCGAAATTACGCTTTTAACCACTGTACTGTATTGCCTATCTGTTAATTGTTTCAAAAGCAAAAACTTTATGTCATCAATTTTGTTTTATCTAATTTTATTCACATATTCAAATTATTCCAAGAACAAGTTTTTGTTTTGGTTTTTGGTTTGTTTTTTTTGAAACAGGGTCTCACTGTGTAGCCCTGGCTGACCTGGAACTCTATGTAGACCATGCTAGCTTTGAACTCAGAGATCCACCTGCCTCTGCCTCCTAAGTACTAGAATTAAAGGTGTGTACAATCATATCCAGCCAGAATAAGTTCTTATGCCAAGTATTTTTTTTTACATTCAGTATATAAGGTACACAATCAATGGACATTTATATAGAGGAAAGCATTTCACCAAGAACTTTTTAAATCAATTAATAGTTGAAGATGAGTTTGCTCACTTTAGTTGCTACTTCAACTTCTTCAGATATGAACACCTCTTCGATCTGGACTGCATCTCTAGGGAAAAATCCGAAGTCCTTTCCTTTCTATCAAAATGAAAAACAAAGATTACCAAGGAAGAGTAATTGAATAGTCATCAGAGGCCAGGTGTAGTGGCACATGCTTTTAATCCCAGCACTCAGGAGGCAGCGGCAGAGGCAGGCAGATCTGTGAGTTCAAGGCCAGCCTGGTCTACATAGGGAGTTCCAGGACAGCTGTGGCTATAAAAGACCCTGTCTCAAAAAGGCAAAAGAAAAAAAAAAAACAGTCATCAGGAAAGACTATTGAGCCTAATTTTGCCTTGTGACCTTGGCACATACATATATATTCACAAAACATTAATCAGCTACTACATGCCATTTGAAGGATCATGAGTAAAGGCTAGAGAGATAGCTCAGTGGTAGAGTGCTTGCCTAGTGTGCCTGAGGCCCTGGGTTCAATCCCCAGTACCAAACAAACAACAGCAAGGAGAAGATGACTGAGACTGCTCCAATGTTATCCGAAAGAATAGCATTAAGTCAAAGGTACAATGAGCTACAATGTAAAATGCCACTACTACAATCTTCAGGATGAAAACAATACTATAAACTCATATTCATTCTCTCTTCTTTCCTCCCTCCATCCCTTCCTCCATTCTCTAAGTACTTGCTTTGCTGAGGTTCATCAGATTCATGCTTTTAGACCTTGGATATCAAAAAGCAATCAATGGAGTTGACAGCTAAGGAAGACAGAGCTGTCCACAAACTCATTTTCAAGATGTCACGCTGAGGAAGAGATTTAAACTCTCAGGAGGATTTATCAGGGTCTGTGTGTCCCTCAGGAGGATGGTTCTGTGAAGCTTTTCTGGAGCTCACTTGGTAACAACAGAGATTCTTCTGACCCAGTTCCAGCACATGAGTAAAGGCATCGCTCAAGCGCTTGTCTTCTGATTCAACACCATCCTACATTAAGTATGATTCTTGTAGTTCTCCAGTTACTCTTCAGTGGCAACTATTTGAATACCAATAGCCTATGAGTCCACAGCATTTTTCCTTAAATAATCATAAGCACAGACAAAGCATCAACACTCAATCTTAGCCAAAAGGCCCAGAAGCCATCAGACTGCAATGCACCAAACTAAGGGTACCTGAGACTTCACTCTGGCTTTACCAGTTAAAAATTGTTTTGTGTGTAACTATTATTGTCATACTTAGTAAACCAAAAAGGGGTTGTTTTCTTTGCCTCTTGTGACATGTATTATGTTAGCTTTCTTATACCTGTATCAGATTCCTGTAATGCATTCAAAACATATACTGGCATTTTTAAGTCATACTAAATAGTAAGGAATCGTGAAAGTCGCAGAGCAGAAAGCAAATATGGCCAGTGACAAAGGTTCAGTAATACATTCCCTGATGGAAAAACCAAGGTTTCAGATATAATCTTCTCCTTCAAGCAGTGTGGTGGTACACACCAAAAATGGCAAGAGTCAACAGCATCAGGAGTTCAAGATCATTCTCAGCTACATAGGAAGTTTGTGGCCAGCTTGGGCTACATGAAACTCTCTAAAAATAAATAAATTGATCACTCAAACAGTGAGTACAGATGCTATGTATGGGAGGAATCTAATGAGTACATAATATGGGAATAATGTATAAATCTATCTGGTTGGTCATGCGTATTCAGATCAGGAATAAAATCACTTATTGTATGCTGTTATCATAAAACAATACAATTCAGAAACATACACCTTTTCAACTGAAAATGTGAATCATAGTTTTCTTATTTATGTATGTTCAGAGAGATGATTCAGGCTTCTTATATTTTGAGCAAATTAAAAGATCCCCCAGTTGTTATTTTATTTTCTATGGAAAATTCACATACTGTGCTTCCCCAGGCTACCAAGCTTTCTGCTGATCTCCAGGAACAACTCAGCCCTTTCTTTGTTTAAATATGCCTCGAAATCTGATCAACTAACTTCCCAGTGTCTCTCAAACTTGATCATTGATAGCACAGAGAAATGGATGCGGTTGCTATAATATATATCAGCATTCCTAAAATCTTTCTAAATAAATATGAACTCTAAGCCTTAAAACTATGTATGCTGTGTAAAAACCAATTTCAAGGCATTCTCTTAGTTCTCCATCCCAAGCTGTCTTCCCCAAAACCCATTTTATAGGAACTTTAGGATACCACAGAATGTGACTATTTTTTAGTTCGCTTAAGGTTTTAAAAGTATTTATACAGTACTTTGAAATTGTTAGATAACTGTGTCTTTAAAGACAAGAAGTAACTATCCTTGTGCAAATTAGTCATTGTCTGCATTCAGTTATTAAAACTAGATACTTACACTTCCTGCCCACAAATCTTCTCTCTCTCCTGCGAGTTTAACATAAACAAATATCTCTTCTTCCTTAGTGAAGTTCAAGTATCGGCAGTCAGGTCCTGTGTAATCACTCATGGCTAAAACTCTGCAGATTAAAGCTACATAAATGTGTAAAGAAAAACACACATACTTTAAATTAAAATGTTATTGCTCCTCCTTCTGATTAATTAGTCAATTAATTATTCATAAACAAGGTATTGTTATGTAACCCAGGCTGACTTCAAACTGAAAATCCCCCTGCCTCAGCTTCTCCCAGGTACTGAGATGCACCACACTTGGCTCTTCCACTCATTTTACCTCCCTCCAATCCACCCTTTAAATTTTGAAATGACATCTGGGCCTGATGGTTCACACTTGTAATCCCAGCACTCAGAAGGCTGAGGCAGGAAGATCCTGAAGAGTTTGAGACCAGCCTGGGCTTACACAATAAGATCCTTTCTCAGAAGTAATAACCAAGTTTGAAATGATAATTTATTTATATTATTTATGTTCTCATAAAACAAATAAGCCAGGTGTGGTGGTATACACCTTTAATCCCAGCACTTGGGAGTCAGAGGCAGGTAGATCTATGTGAGATCAAGGTCAGCCTGGTCAACATAGTTCCCGGCCAGCTGGGGCTACAGAAGACACTGTGGCAAAAAGATGCCCCACCCCAAAATATATATGTATGAGAAGGCTGGAGAGATGGCTCAGCAATTTAGAACACTGGCTGCTCTTGCAGAGGACCTGGGTCTGGTTCCCAGCACTCACATGGCAGCTAACAACCATCTATAACTCCAGATCCAGGGGATCTAACACCCTTTTCTGACCTCTGCGGTCATTGTACAACATGGTGCACTTACATACATGCAGGCAATACACTTACACACATAAAACAAAAATAATAAAATATTTAAGAACAAAAACAACAAAAAAGAAAAAACAAAATAAACTTTCCACTGCACATAGACTTAGCCCAGACTTTCTGGCACAGTATTAAAGGCTATCCATAATCTAGTCCCACTTTCCTATTTAAGAACATTTTATTATGGGGGCTGGAGAGATGGCTCAGCAGTTAAGAACACTGGCTGTTCTTGCAGAAGACCTGGGTTCAATTCATAGCACCCACATGGCAGCTAACAACTGTCTGTAACTCCAGTTGCAGGTGATCTAATGGCCTCTTCTGTCCTCCATGGGCATTGCATGACACAGGTGCACTCTTTTTTGAGACAGCGTCTCCTTGTAGCCCCAGCTGTCCTGGAACTCACTATGTAGACCAGGCTGGCCTTGAACTCACAAAGATCCGCCTGCCTCTGCCTCCCAAGTGCTGGGATTAAAGGCGTGTGCCACCATGCCCAGCAATAAAATATGTCGCTCCTAGGGAACAAACTCAGGTAGTTAGGCTTGGTAGTAAGTACCTTTATCCACTGAGCCATCTCACTGCCCCTCTCTTCCCTATTTCTTTTTTAGATTTTTTAATATATATAATGCTTGCTTGCATGTATATATGTATATCACAAGTGTGTCTTGTGCCCATAGAGGTCAGAAGAGAGAGTCAGGTTCCCTGGAACTGGAGTTATAGGCATTTGTGAGCTGCCATGTGAGTGCTGGGACGTGAAGCTGGGTCCTCTGCAAAAGCAGCCAGTGCTCTTAACTGCTGAGCTCTCCAGCCTCTCCTGTTGCCTTGCAGATTCAGGGCTCCAATCAAGCTTGGAGCACGTCACTATTATCCTCTAACATGTAGGGAAGGAAAGGAAGTGGTAAGTTCCTTTCTGGGATCTATTACATTCCCAGGTGTTATGACATTTTCATTTTGTTAAATCCTTAACAAGGCTATATAAAGAACAATCCCATTTCATTCTACTGAATTAGCCTTTAGTTAGGGTTTGCAGGGTTGGTCCTATTTGCCAGGTTTGCCCAGTCTGCATTGCAGTTGTTCTCCCTGCAGCATCATCTTCCTTACTCTAAGCTGCTTCCCCTGCTTCTCCCTCAGCCCAGAAAACTCATCTCTTCATGTCTAACTCATCCTGCTTCCTCCCCAGGTCTTCCCTAATCCAGCCTCCTCTGATGACCCCTTGTCCAAACTGTACTATCACTATTTATTGTTTCATCTTCGTCTGTCTTGTCATTAAGTAAAACAAATATTCCTGAAGAGTGAGAAATGCATTTCACTTTATTTCATTTAAAATTCATAGTATTCACACACATACACCCTGAAGACAGTAGCACATAGTAGGCCCTCAATAACTATGAGTAAATGATATGACAGACTAAGCCCTCCAGTGCCCCAAGTAACACACATATCATGTGACTATTATAATGATACGTGCAAAATTTTAAAACATTTTGATTAAGTCCTTCAATAAGACTTAAAATATTATAACACATCACTATCAATGTGAATATTCTGTTGGTCCTTAAAGATACGAATGTTATTATGTAAAGGGGAAAAGGATTATTATAAAAATATCTAAATCCAGGCATGGTGGCGTGCACCTTTAATCCCAGCACTCGTGAGGCAGAGGCAGGCAGATCTCTGTGAGCTCAAGGCCAGCCTGGTCTACATAGTGAGTTCCAGGACAGCTGGGGCTACAGGGAGACCCTGTCTCAAAAAAGACCAAATATATATATATAATATATTATATATTATATATTTATATATTAATATATATTTATATATATATCATCTAAGAAACTTCACTACATATTAAATGACTTCTTCAAAAGGTTAAGAAACCCATCCAGGCATGGTGCTGCATGCCTTTAATTCCATTACTCAGGCAGAGGCCAGCCTGCTCCACATGGTGAGCTCCAGGCCAGGTGGGACTATAGGAAGATCCTGTCTTGAAAAGCCAGAAAAAGGTTAAGAAAATGTTTACTCATAAAAATATTACTATTTATGTTTAAACTAATTGTATTTTACATTTTGAAACGCTATCTTCTGGTCGTGTCAGGACAGCTGCACTCATGAACTCACAGTGGCTGTGGTTGCCTACACAAGCCCTGCACAAGATCCAGCCAGTCAACATTCCAGCATGGAGGGGGTGCTCACAAGTCCCTACCCTTAGCTGAGGAGCTGACAGCTTTGGGGAAGAAGACTCATTTTCAGGAGGGCTGTGACCCCAGCTAGGTTGAGCATGCTCCAGTGGATGGCGCCACACCCAAAGGCATATAGGCAGCACATTGGTGTTGGAGAGAAAAAAAAAAAATTTAAAGCACATAAAATTGGGATGTTTCATGGGGTGTGGGGGGATGGAGGGAGTTTGAATGGAGTTGGAGGGGGGAAATGGGGAGTGGATACAATTAAAACACATTGTAGGGGCTGGAGAGATAGTGCAGCAGTTAAGAACACTGACTGTTCTTGCAGAAGACCCAGGTTCAAATCCCAGCACCCACAAGGCAGCTGACAACTGTCCATAACTCCAGTTCCAGGGGATCTGACAGGTTCTTCTGTCCTCCTCCGGAATTGCACGACACAGGTGCACTTACCTACATGCAGGCAATACGCACATACACATAAAATAAAAATAATAAATAAAATATTTTTTTAAAGTTGAATTATCTTTTTTGTGTCTTTTTGAGACAGGGTCTCTCTGTAGCCCCAGCTGTCCTGGAACTCACTATGTAGACCAGGCTGGCCTTGAACTCAGAGGATCCACCTGCCTCTGCCTCCCAAGTGCTGGGATTAAAGGCGTGCGCCACCACGCCTGGCAAAAAAAGTTGAATTATCTTTAAAAAAATAAGATAAAATAAAATACATTGTATACATGTATGAAATTCTCAAATAAATAAAAAATACTATTTTTAAAATCTTTTTGGTGATTAGAAAAAGGCTTGTTACTATAAAATACCACGTAGCAAAGTCTTTCATATTAAATGACTTCTCCAAAAGGTTAAGAAAAGCTTATTCATAAAAATGTTATTTATGAATTGATTATACTTAATCAAATCTTGCTTTTTTTTTTTTTTTTTTTTTTTGAGACAGGGTCTCCCTGTACCCCAGCTGTCCTAGAGCTCACTATGTAGACCAGGCTGGACTTGAACTCACAGAGATCGCCTGCCTCTGCCTCATTTTAATTTATATTTTGCAAAAGTAAAAAGAATTTTCATGCTGTAAAGACAGAACTTATTTTCAGCAATTCTAGGATAAGGATATAATTATTTTATGCCATAATTTTAATAACAAAAAGTTAAGTTCTTAATAAAATGAAAATTAATTTCTCCTCATACAGAATTAAGAAAGCTTAATATTCAATGTTATAAAATTTATATATCCAGCACTGATTTTAGCATTTTTGCATAATTAACACAAATTATTAACATTTGATAAAGTTTAGACATAATGAATCATGATTTTGAAATAAGAACATTTTGGGGGAAAACTCAGGAGAATCAAAGTTCTGATTATAAAATAAAAACTAAAAAGCAGAAACTTTATAAACAGTGAATTACCAAACTGATACCTTTTTATACAACTCAGTTATCTTTTAAAAAATATAGTAAAAGGGCTGGGCTAGTTTGTTTTTGATGTATGGATTAATATCATTTCTGATGTATTTCTATAGCAATCTTTAATTTTGTCTTTTTTACATTTATATTAAACACAATCACAAAATGCTTTTCTTCTAGAATTCCTATTTTATATCAAGCTGTATAATGTTCATTTTTATCACACAGGTCCACAATAAGAATATGATTTTAGGACCTCAACTTAAGAGAAGAAGAAAAAAACTTACTTTCACATTCCAAGTCACCACATTTTTTAAGGGGTGCCAGCAGTTTTGGACCTTCCAGACACTTTGCCAGAGAAATAGCCAAAAGAAGGATTGTGTGAACACTAAGCTCCGCCATGCCAAACAAGTCACCAGGAATCCCAAACCAGTGTTAAAACACTTGTTTAGGTTGCAGACTTGCCAGCCAAAGCAGCAAACACTCTCTTCTGTAAATACAAGAGAAAAAGGTTGGTGTTTTTAAAACCCCTTCGAAGCTACATTTTTCTGTCGGTGTGTAGGCTCAACTTCAGGAACTAACACTCTGTTCTCAATCTGCACTGTCAGTTATCAGACAATACACAAGAGTTTAATAATTAACAGGGATTTTCGTGTTGGACTAATGTCATAAAGTAGCCCATGTGAAACTGACTCACTTAAAGGCACCTTACATTCAACAGGACAGTTCTTAAACAAGCCTCCACTAAAAGGTATTTGGTCTCTGTCATAGTCTTCAGGCACATCAGTCAACAAGCACAAACCAAAACCTTCATGCCAATTCTAACTTCGAAAGAGAAAGCGTAGGCCCAGCAAGATGGCCCAGCAGGCTAAGGCACTTACCTCAAAGCTTCAAGATCTGAACATGGGGGAAAGAAAAACAGACGCCCACAAGTTGAAATCTGACCTACACACACACACACACACACACACACACACACACACACACACATACACACACACTAAATAAATAAATAAGTAAATAAATGTGGTACTAGAGAGATGGCTTAGTGGTTAAGAGCACTAGCTGCCCTTGCAGAGGACCCTGGTTCAATTCCCAGCACCCACGTGGCAGCTAGCAACCATCTGTAACTATAGCTCCAGAGAATTCCACACCCTCTTCTGGCCTCTGTGGGCACCAGGCATGCATGTGGCATGTGGTACATATCATACACACAAGTAAACATTATATATATGTTTACATATAAATTAAACCATAAATATATCTCTTTTTTTTTAGTGTTCAGGGTAGGTATGAAGATACAGTTAGAACAATAGTTAAAACATAACTACTTTCTGGGGCCAGGGAGATGGCTCAGCGGTTAAGAACACTGGTTGTTCCTGCAGAAGACCCAGGTTCGAATCCCAGCACCCACGTGGCAGCTAGTAACTGTCCGTAACTCCAGTTCCACGGGATCCGACAGCCTCTTCTGCCCTTCACAGGCATTCATTGCACAACACGGGTGCATTTACCTACATGCAAGCAATACATGCACACAAAATAAAAATAGTAAATTTAAAAAAAGAAGAAACATAGCTACTTTCTATGATCCAGACACTATCTGAGTGCATAGATACATGATTTTATTTTATTTTATTTTATTTTATTTATTTTTTGTTTGTTTTGTTTTGAGACAGGGTCTCCAGCTGGCCTGGATTCACTATGTAGACCAGGCTGATCTCAATCTCACAGAGATCCACCTGCCTCTACCTCCTGAGTGCTAGTATTAAAGGTGTGCATGCCCCACCATGCCCAGCTCTGATTTCACCCTCATACCAGCTCTTTGGGGCAGATGTTATTATCATCCTAATATTTGCATATGATGACACTGAGTCACATAGAGATAGGTTAAGTTATTCAATGTCACACACGGTGAGTGGAGAAGAACTTTAAACCTAGGCACTGTGATTCAACACTCAGTAACTGCTGTCCTTTACCACCAAGAAGTAAATCCTCTGCTGTGAAGCAAGTACAGTGTTATTCCATGTGTTTAAAATTACATACATATTTCTATAAGCAGAAGGAGAATGAAAGATGTGAGGAGAGAGTATGAGAGAGAGAGACTGAAAACACTCCCCTACGTGGTAGAAATGATTTCAGGAAGTATTCCTTATAGCTTTCTATATGGCGTGGCTCTCTTATTTTAGAATCACTGAGCATATGTCATTTAAAAATAACATGTTATGAAAATAAAGTCATTTGAATGTTGTTTGAAAGGATTAAAGTCCTATATTGGGAAATTTTCTATAAGATCTAGATCTGAAGTCCTCAACCTGGTGAAGTACTTGCATAAGGAAAAACACACTCCCCTTTAGCGCCAGACAGAAATAAAACAGATATATTCACAACCCAGGCAAGCTCAAGGAAAGGGACTTTGCTTTCAAAATCTTACAAAAACAGAAATGTAATTGTTTGTTGGTTAGTTTATCAGTAGGAAGTCTGCTCTCTGCAAGATAAGGTTTTTAAATCTTCTAGAAGAATCTGATGGAACATGTACTTGAGGGTCAGTTGGCAACAGGGCATTGTATAGCTAGTGCATAGCTGTACACACACACACACACACACACACACACACACAAGAGTGTAGGCTAGTTTCTGGAATACAGTATACATTAGTTTTGTAAATCTGAAATACTATTATCAACAACATTCAAAAATTTTTTGATTTATTTATTTATTTATTTATTTATTTATTTATTTATTTTTGAGACAGGGTCTCCCTGTAATCCCAGCTGATCTGGAACTCACTATGTAGATCAGGTTGGCCTTGAATTCACAGAGATCTTCCTGCCTCTGCCTCCCAGGTGCTGCGACTACAGGTGTGTGCCACCACGCCGGGCTATTTATCTTTATTTTATGTTTATGAGTGTTGCTTGTATGTACGTTAAGTACACTCATGTGATGCAATGCCCAAAGAGGCCAGAAGAGGGCATTGGATTCAGTGGAACTGAAATTTTAGCTGCTGGAAACCAAACCTGGGTCCTCTGCAAAGCATCCAGTTCTCTTACCACTGAGTTATCTCTCCATCTCCAATGTCAATGACATTTAAATAAGAATCAGCTCTTCAGCTTCAAGATTTCGCACACAGTTATTTGAATAATTTATACTACCAAAGCCAATATTAGGGGCTGGACAGACAGCTCAGTGGTGAGGAGTCATTACTACTCTTGCAGAGAACCCAGTTTCACTTCCCAGTAACTCCAGCTCCAGAAGGATCCATCACCTTTGGTATCCAAGGGCACCTGCCCTCATGTGCACATACCCACACATAGACACACATAGATACATAATTTAATAAAAACTTTAAAAAAATTTAAAGCTGATATTAAATCAAGAACATTTAACAATTAATTTATTTTAACTATCCTTGCTTTGTATACTGAAGGCCTAATGAACTAAATTCAGAATGAATTAATCACCTTCTAAATTAAGAACAATAAAGGGTGAGTGAGATCGCTCAGCTCAGCAGGTGCGGCACATCCCATGCAAAGCTGATGACCTGAGTTCAATCCCAGGAGCCCACATAAAAGTGGAAAGAGAGAACTGACTCCACAAAGTTGTCCTCTGACCTCCATACATGCACCATGGGATACACACACACACACACACACACACACACATTCACACACAAATGGAGTAAATAAAAAAGCTGGCTAGAGGGCGCACCCTGAAAAGGTGCTGTTGTGGAGCCTGGATATGAATTGCTCCCTGGGTAATGTGGTAGAAGGAGAGAATCAACGCCTGCAAGTTGTCCTCTGACCTCCCGAAGCACGCACTCACACATACAAATGAACTAACTAAATATGCTTGGCAAGCAGACTCAACGAGTAAAGGCTCTTGCCAGGAATCCTGAAGAGCTGAAATTGATCCCTGGAACTCACTTCTCTGGCAAGTTGTCCTCTGACATACACATCTATGTAGGCCATGGCATGTGGGTGCCCCTCCACATAAATTAATTAATTTTAAAAATTAAAGAAAAAATTGCAATAAGAGCCCAGTAAAGTTTAAACTTGCCTATTGATTGGCATAAGTGGAGGGATAACTGCTCCAGCACAGCCCTGGAGAGATCTGCTTCTACAGAAACACTCCCACATTCTTGCTACTTAAGGCACTCTGTGATCTCATTTTGTATTCAGATTGTTGTTTAAATATAATTTAGCTTGCCAGGTATGGTGCCACATGCCTTTAATCCCAGCACTCGGGAGGCAGAGGCAAGCGGATCTCTGTGAGGCCAGCCTAGTCTCCATAGCAAATCCAGGTCAGCTAAGGGTACAGGGAGACCCTGTCATCTCAAAAAAAAAAAAAAGTCTCCAACAAAGCCAAATGAAGAAACAGCACATGAAGAGGAAAAGAGAATTAAGAAATCAAAGAATTGCATTTTGACTATAAATAAATAAGTCACATCAGTTTAGCCAGATATTACCTAACTGGTACAGTTTGCAGATTAAACGTATCACTATTCAAATATAAAGTTAACATTAAGCTAGATGTGGTAACAAAACTCAGCCAAGAACACTGATTGGAGGGCCTATGTGATTTATACAAACAGAACAGGGGAGAAGAGCACCTACTGAAAAAGCTGAAGAATGAATCATCATAGCCACATGTGGGATCGACAGATAAAGTCACAGTGCAACCATAGCACAGAGATACACTCGCTGGCTGTCACTGCTCTGTGATATCATTTCTCAGTCTATGAATTATTATTCTCTCTCAATAGCTCAAAAGTCCTATATTGGGAACACGTTTCCTTAAACCATGCCTGTTACTCTTGTAATTTATAACATAAGTTCAATTAGGAGACTTGGAATTAGCAGAACTAATTAAATGAGCCAGGTTTTACCAAGGTTGAGGCATGAGAACAGAGCCTTTATAAACAGTTCCTGTGACAGACAGATGCACAGAAAGTAAAAAGTCTAGGAAAGACTGAGAGTCAAGCTGATGTGGAAGACAGAGATGGCCCTGGCTCCCTCCCTTCTGGGTAGAACTTTCTCCCCAGCTGCCTGAGTCCAATCAGCTGACAGTCTGCATCACAGTAGGCAGCTGTGTCAAAGTCTGCCTTCCCTGCAGGGAGTCACCTTACCCAGGATGACTCTCCTCAGTGTGCTAGTGACCAGAGAATAAATAAGGTAGTAAAAGGCCAGGTGGTTTCTCATCCAGGGCTTCCTATTGACTGAGACCTGGCTTTCAATTTGCTTTCTCCTGATAGGTAAAAATGTTGGAGAGTGGAGAGCACAAGGATGGAGGAGGCACGAGGCACAGATAGAATTCTCAGCGGGATACAGCTTTATTTCACACGGGACACGTTTCCCTCAGGGAAGGGAAAGATGTCAGGGAAAGATGTCAGCCCATGGGCTGTGAGCTGGGACTTTATATATGGGGGCTTTAGGGTGTAGAACAGGGGAGTGTTTGAGGGAAAAATCAGGGACAGGGAAGCAGGAAAAGCAGGTTTTGTAAACCTGGCTCCGTTCAGTCTGCCAGGTAGGATTAGGGTCTGGAAGTGTTTACTTTTTCCTTCCTAA